GCATATATCACATTGGTAGATGTGCAGGTGAACGAGCCCCTGATGGTATGGCTGATGTGATTAGCTCCAGGAAGACTTGTCAGACAGAAAGAATGAGCTGCAGAATTAGGTGGAGGGAAACTAGTCATTAACAGAAAGGAAGATCTATAAGCCATCAGCATAAGAATGGTAGTGTGAACAGAAGAGAATACCCACAGTGAGAATGCAAAGGGAGACGAGAAGGGAACCCAGGATAGAGTCTTGTGGGACCCCTTGAAGAATGCTAGATGGGACCCAGTAAAGGAATAATGAAAGAGGTAGGAAGAGAACCAGGAGAGAATGAAGTCACAAACACCACTGGAGGACAAGGTTTCAAGCAAGAGGGTGTGATTGACAGTATTAAAGACAGCAGGGAGAGTTTCAGAAGGTGATGGTTGAATAGAGATTCTAGATTTCACTAGGAAAAGATAGTTAGAAATTTTGTTGGGAAGAATTTCCATGGAGTGAAGTCCATCTGCAAGGGATCTGGGATGGAGTTAAAGGAGAGTAACACAAGACTTGTTATAACATTAATACCAGAAAACACCCCTCTGGGACCTGGTGGTTCTTCTGAAAATACAAGCATTCATTTGCTGGTTCTCAGAAATCATTGCAGGAAGTCCAGCTTTTAGAAGGTAGAAAGCCTCCTTACTAGACCACATAAAATAGTGATCTACCAAGAATCAAAGCATTCTCTTACCAATGATGCTTTTAAATGTTCATTAGTTAAATCAGCATCTACCATCAGGCAGCAACTCATTATTCACAGAACAACGGAAGGCAGTGTAACATTTTGGCAAGGTTTCAGTCTGCATACTTTTGTTAGCTCTTGCATTGGAACAGCAGGGAAAAGCTGTAAAGAATCATGGACAATTTTTAAGTCACTGGCTTCAGCAAAGAGGGCCATCCTCCAAGCTCAAATAACAGAGCACTTTCCTCCAGAGCACTACAGATCCAGATTCCTACCTAACCATACTGCTGTCTTTTTTCCTATACCTTGACAATCATATTTATGAACAACCCTACAAAAAACAGACAAATATGTACCCAAAATACAAGAAATACAATATTAGTAAAACAATTTTAGATTCAAGTTATTTCTAAAGTGACATATTTCACCAGGGGTGGGGGGGGGGCGGAAGGGGATATGCTTTCACCAATGTATATGAAAAATATCTAGATTGTGTCCTTTTATGTAGGATATGTGGAAAAAATTAGAAAATGTACATATTACATCCAATCTTCCATAATACTGAAGCAAAACTCATATTAAAATCAACATATTTTCCATGAATAAGTACAGCAGGATCAAGTCCTATTTTAGCTAAAGAATTGTACAAATGCTTGTCTGCCTACAGGCAATTGCAAGTCTAAGTACTGAACTGAATCCAATCAAGACAAAGAGACCAAAGGAGATAAACATCTCATCACACACTACTTTCTCTCCTGAGGAAAACTGCCTGATCTTTGATAAAAGGAACCTTACTACAGCTCATGCTGGCTAGTTTATAGTGCCTCCTCTCCTTGCCATTCATGGCAGCATTTCAAACTCTTGGTTTGGGAAAAGCAACTTAACTTTTTGGCTGAAGATCCTGGGCCAAATTCAGCCCTGCTGTAAGAAGCTGCAATTCCACTAACTTTATTGGCCTTATGCCTGCTTTCATCAAGTCTGAATTTGGCCCTGAGTCCAAATATTCACCTTGGCCTTAAATGTTTCATAGTAAAGACTTTTAAACTTGGTGCTAGACCTACTTTTTATTAGTATTTTTCACTTGCTGTTTCTAAAGCTTAGCAAGCGTACTGATAAACTGATGTGCTGTGAGTTATTTGGCATGTCCTTTTATTTGCCTAGTGTGGCGACGAGCTCCATTTTCATTGTCACTTGCAGGTGCCAACAATAACTACTGGAATTCTTTTATGGAGGGCTCCTTATAAAGAGAAGTAATCCAGCGCTGAGTTATTAAAAAATAAATACATAAAGTTAGGCACGTAAATAAGGGTATTTCTACACAGCCCACAGCAGTAAGCCTCCCAGCCCAGGTCAACAGACTCGCTCTAGTGCTCTAATAATAGCTGTATAGACAGTGCTTTGAATTTGCATCTGTGAAGCCCACCCCCTCCTTAGGCCGGATTTTCAAAAGTGCTGAGCACAATGCAGTTCCCGTTAAAGTCAATCAGGCCATTTATTTAGTTGCCTAGAGCTGTGCTATTTTAAAAAATATTGGCCCAGTGTCATAGGGGAAAAAAATAAAGAATCAGCATCATGTAAATGTGTAGTGAAATTTTAAAATGTACATTGAGGTCCTGACCTCCACTGCTCAAAGCTTTGTGTAGTCATGTGCAAAGTGGCTATCAGACCAGAAAGGTAGCAGTTTTACTGCTATGTTGCACTCACTGTGTGCAGGTGCAAGGATGTAGAGAATCAGGACCTGACTTTTTCAGAACACACATGCTGAATATTAGACAAAACTCTGAAATTACCAGCCAGTGCTCCGTTGCCCCTCATGTGCAAAGACTTAAAAATGTTAGTAAGCAACAATGTATTAGCCCCATTCTACTGATGGGGAACCAAAACACAGAGATATTAAGGGATTCACTTAAGTCACACAGGCAGTCTGTGACACAACAGAGAACTGAACCTGGGTCTCTGAAGTCCAGGGTAGCACTCTAACCATTGGCCTATCTTTCCTCATCCTTCACCTGCCTGTTGAATTCCAATTAACGACACTGGAAACTCTGCGCATATGTGGAGAAAGGCATAAACTTCATTCTTGTGTGGACTGGAAAAGAAATTCTTGTCCTTCCGACAACATATGTCAAGTAAT